ATGATATCAGCTGAGCTACTAAATTATGTTTTTAGTGATTTTCAGTTTTTTTTTTAAACAGAATACACTTTGAAAAAAAATAGAAACTATAATTTATACAATCAGCGAGGCCAAGGCTGAAAGCCCTTTTATAACAAGACGGAAAAGAGTAAAAACTGGTAAGAAAGACTTTTCATTCTAGCATTTTTTTCGAGAAAAATAAAATATCTGTAACTATCAAGATTTATCACACCTAAAGAATCACACCTAAAGAATAGTTTGATCACACCTAAAGAATAGTTTGATCACACCTAAAGAATTGTTTGATNTTCCATTAGTATTTGCATCACACCTAAAGAATAGTTTGATCACACCTAAAGAATTGTTTGAAAATACATAAAATATCAGGAAACAATCGTGAACATCGAAAATTTTGATGTCCTCATAAGTATAAACAAAAAATAAAAAATTTTGAACTAATTTTTCTAGGTTTATAATCACAAACTGTCATTCGGTGAGGTTACAGTTACGATGTCAAGACCGTAATCAGACGCAGATCTAAAAAGTAAATGTTAAAATCAATCACAATTTTGATCACGCGTTTGTCATTGCCTAATTTATTTTTTGTGTTGTGTGCATCGCATTGCGTTGCATTTGAGTAAAGTTTTCGATCTATTCTCTACGTTGTCCAGACCGTAACCCTGTCAAACCGTAACCTCAGGATTAATTAATTGAATTGAACATATCAGAACTTAGTTTTTTCCCTATTTTTTACTAATTGAAGATATTTTTTGAGTGAAAATAATTAAAGTAAGCCTTTTAATACATTTTATAACAATTTAACTTAATATTGAAATTTTTCAATATATTTACGATACTAATAATTTTTGATGAAAAATAAAGGATAAATATGAATGAAATTAATTAAAAGAAAAAAATTGCTCAATAAAAGAAAAATAGGTTCAATAAGCTTATATGTTTATTAAATAAATGATACTTTTGTCGTTTTTATAATTTTCAATGAAATGTATATAAACCTAGAAAAATTAGTTCAAAAATTTAAATTTTTCGTTTATACTTATAAGGGCATCAAAATTTTCGATGCTCACGATTATTTTCTGATATTTTATACATTTTTAAGCAATTCTGGAGGTGTAAAAATAGTGTGTCTATTATTTATTATTTTTTCTTATTATCAAAAGTTAAAGATTTTAGAGATCTGCCCTTATACCAGAACTATTCCAAAAATTAGCGGAGATTCTTATCAATATTCTTCAGAGCATAGCTATCGTCATAAAACCATTTCCCCTAATAAAATGTATAGGAGGTTTGTTTACTCTTAATTCCGCCAGAAGGGATCTCTGAGGACGTCTTCTAATCTGAGGTCTATAGCAAACACATGAGTCGGGGTTACATTTTCCCCTATCAGAGTGGGAAGAAAAAAACCATAAGCAGGATTCAGAATGATACGCTTTCATTCGGAATCATATACTAGGGAGTTATATTTCTAGGGGTAAAATAGGGAGGGTAATTTTTGGTCATTCGTCCGGTCGTTTCATTTGGTTTGTTGATCTGAGAGTCATTCCAAGAGATTACCCGATTACTCGACCGTATGGGGCTGGGGACAGGAAATGATTAATGGTGATTCAGAGAAAATTCGACGTTCTGTGACGATTGCTGTGGTCTGGGAAGCCAACTGATCAAGCCAGTGGTAATACTGTCGTCACATGTCATTAGTCAATATGAAAAATCTGTCTTGTCCGGGTAAACTGAGATGTAAAAATAGATATACGAATTTTGCTTGATTGCATTTTTGAATTTTTGAATGAGTACTGGGTTGGGTCCAAAACATTTCTTATACTAATAGAAACAATATGCTTTATCATTTATGCATTAATTTTTTTACCTCTTTAATTTTAAAATAAAATATGATTTATATTTAATTGAAAATCTAATAATAATTATATATGATATAAACAGAGAAGCCAACTTGCTCCGGACAGCAAATAAATATTTTCGAGTGGTAGTTTATTAATTATGATTCTTGGTTTAATAAATTCAATTAATTAGATTTTTATCCTCCGCTATTTCTAAATAATCTGTTGGTTCATATAATTCACCACTTTGTAGCAATTACATCATGCCAAACATTCTTAAAAGTAAGGAAAATTATACCAATATTTGCGGATTTTAGTTTTAGTTATTTACCGTTTCTTAAATTATTTTGGTGTGTCCGGAGCAGTTGGCATCTCTGTATATATATGGAAATGAATTATGTACAGAAATGAATTGGTCTAGAAAAGTTGATTTTGTTCTTCAACTAATCTTGGACTCTTCAACTTAACTTAACTTTGTAAATCGACTTATTTACATCGCAATTTTTTCCGACTTTTTTTTTTAAGTACAGACAATTAAAGACCTCATTTAACCATTTTTCCATGTACGTAAATCTTTTACATATACTTTTTTTCTCATAAGACTATAAAAATGGTGGCCAAATACAAAAAAAATTTGAAAGCTTTAGGTTTTATACCAATCTATAAGATATTTTTCATTTCTCGCTCTCTCTCTCTCTATATATATACAGGGATGCCAACTGCTCCGCTTTCTGGAATAGTTTTAATAAAGTGGTAGCATATTATATAGTAAAATTCGTTAGAGAAGGACAGTTACGCATACCCTCCAACTTATGAGGATTTTGAAAATAATTCTTTCTAGTGGTAGCGAACCAAAGTAGAAATTTTTAAAGAAAATGGATCTCTCATAAAACTTTTATCAGAACTTAACAATCTAGCCATATGCATACCTGCCAACTTATAATCCATTTGAGGATGATTTTCCCCAGTGGTAGTAAAATAGAAATTAAATTACAATTTTAGGCAGAAACATATGTTGTGTTTTGAAAAATATTAAGCGACTGTCAGGACAGTATTACATATTAATATATATGCTTTATTTTTTTAAAAATAGTGGTAGTTAAAAAGATTTTAAATTATGTTTATAAATGCAAAGAATACATAGAAAGCATGCATTTTACTACCGCTTTAATTACAGAAATAAAATTTTACGCCAAATGCGTAAAAGTTGGCAGGTATGCATATGGCCTGCACTTTTATAAGTAATAGTGGACAAGTTACGCTAAAATTATTTTTTTTTAAATATTAAGACATTAATTTTGCTACCGTCTGAAAAGAAGATTTCTGAAACTACGGAAATTCCGTAGCAGTTGGAGGGTATGTATA